GGACCAGTCGCTGGAGAAGGATATCATGTTTGGTAAGGTGGAGGGTCAAAGAAAAAGAAGACCCCCAGCAAGATGGCTTGGCCAAGTGCAGCATCGATGATGCAAGCGTGGCAACAATTGTGAGGTTGGCCTAGGATTGGGCAGTATTTCATTCTGTTGTACACAGGGTCACTATGAATCAGTACTGACTTGATGGCACCTAACAACAACAATAACAACTTCTCAAAAGAGCCACAGTCATCCAGAAGTAAAGCTCTCTACGTTTAGGAGAAAAGTCAATGACATAGTCTTTGTTGTTGTTAAGTGCCGTTGAGTCGGTTCCGACCCATAGCGACCCTGAACAGGGTTCCCGAGGCTGTAAATCTTTACGGGGGCAGAAAGCCTCATCTTTCTCCCACAGAGCAGCTGGTAGTTTCAAACTGCTGACCTTGTGGTTCGCAGCCCAACTGGTAACCACTACACTACCAGAGCTCCTTATAGTCTATATATGCCCCTAATGTATACACTTGATAAAAAAAAGTCAGTTCTTTTACATCTTATGCTCTAAGTTATATGATATAATGAAACATCAATTTCCTGCTTTTCCTGTGACGACAAGTACCCATGGCTAAGTCATTCTATTTCAGTCAGAGGGCAGTAATGGTGCACAGAGTGTAACCACTGCATTCCCGATGTGCCAGATGTGCATTTCTCTCTTGTCCTGTCACCCAGGGCATGTTTACAGCTGGACCATTTAGACATAGCATTTACATTTATATTGTGAGGAAAACACGATATAAAATTCCAGCTTTAAACTCGGTATTACTAAAATAAATTTAAATAATTGTATTGAAAAGCATATTTGAGTCAAAAAATTATCAAGCTTTGCTAATTTGACAAGTACACTTCACAAAATCAACAAAATTGACAACAGTTACAATGAAAATATTAGTGGTCAATATTATTTGTCACTGACCTTTCTCTACCAGTTCTCTGCTCAATGGAAGATTCAAACTTCCCTGTCTTTTTGCTAGGGAAAGACGAAAAGAGGAAGCATCTTGATCAAATAAAACAGATGATAACATACAACAAGTATAGAACACCAAACGTATTACTTTAGAGTCAGATTCCAACTCACAGACACCTTATAAAACAGGGTAGAATTGCCCCTCAAGGTCTCCAAGGTTGCAAGGTTTATGGACAAGAGAACGGTGACTATGTAGGGTAAGCACTATGAACAAGGTCATCGGTTCGAGCCCACCAGCCACTCCATAGGAGAAAGATGAGGCTTTCTGCTTTCACAAAGGATCACTACCTCAGAAACCCTATACAGGGTCGCTATGAGGAACCAAACCCACAGCATTTAACAACAAAAACATTCTTTAGGGAAGCAGACTGCTACATGTTTCTCCCAAGAGAGACTGAAGAGTTCGAACTGCCCACCTTTTGGTGCACAGTGAGCACTTAACCACTGTGCCACCAGGGCTCCTGCATACATTGTTGCTGAGTGGCATGGAGTTGCTTCTCATTCATAGCAACCCCGTATCATGTTTTCTGAGGAGTGGCTGGTTGGTTTAAACCACTGAACCTGTAGTTCACAGTCCAGTCCTCACCCTATAGTGCCACACCTGTACTATACAAGTTATATTGTGGTTGTAAAGTGCCATCGAGTCAGTTCTGACTCGTAGCAACCCTGTATAGGGTTTCCCAGAAGCAGTTGGTAGGTTTGAACCGCCAACCTTGTGGTTAGCAGTCCAGAGCTTATTCCATAGTGCCACACCAGGACTTCACATATTATATGTTGTTGTTAAGTGCCATTGAATCAGATCCAGCTCATAGCGACCCTGTATAGGATTTCTGAGGCTTTAAATTTTCACGGGAGCAGAAAGCCTCGTATTTCTCCCATGGAGCGGCTGGTGGGCTCGAACAGTGGACCTGAGGTTCGCAATCCAATGTTTATTGTACAAAGCCACAGCACTCTCTACATATTACACAGTATATTATAAATATATTACACCATGTAAGCTATACTTCAGTACTCACCAATATTTAAAACATCCTCCACAGCCTGAGCAGCAACTCTGTTAATATTGAATGACCTAGAAACAAAAATTAAAGAATTCTTTGTTGTTTAAATGCAAAAAAAAAAAAAAAATGCTAAAAATAAAAAGGAATTATCTACGTAATTTATAAAGCACTCTTACAAGTGATCAGGAAAAAGCAAACAAAAGATAGTAGCCACCACACTCAAAACTTAAAAAAAAAATTGGCAAAGGACATGACAAAAAGTTCAAAGGCTAATATGAAGAAGTACTTTCCTGGTAAGATGGTAGACAAGGCAGACGTGCTGCCCAGACCCTCTCTAGTAAAGACACACCTGACCCAATGAAATGGACACCAACAATAATTCTGGGACCCTAAGCTCTCCAGAGGAAAAGACAGAGACGTGGACTGAACAACAACTAGGAGGAGAAGCTGCTAAATAAAACCTGCCAAAGATGGGACAAGAAGCGTGGCCATTTTGAACTGCTGAAACCCGCATTCAATGACACAGGCATAACACCACGAACACTTCAGGAACTGGTGAAGTGAAAGGTGGGATTTTCCCTTTTCCCCCACACCCTCCTGGGGCCCCAAGGATGGCCAGCTCCAACCCTCCCCTACTCGGTGGTAGCTGACATGCCCCAGTCCAGGTCAGAGCTATACCAGGTACCACCTCTCCCGAATCCGGAGGAACCCAAACTCTGCTGCGTCAGACCAGCAGAATGCACAGTGTTGGGTCCTGGCCACCCTGAAAGGTCTCCAGCTGCCCTCTGGGCCCCCAAATTTTCTTCAAGAAACAAGCATCCTAGCCTCAGCCACCTTCTGAGTCTGCACAAACTATTTCCGGATCAGGTGCCCTGACCCTAGACAACATCTAGGTCAGCAGGAACTCCCTAAGACTGAGGCATGCAAAGCTCTCTGTGCCATCCCCTGCTGCCCCACCCACCTGGTGAGCTCCTGGGCTGGAGATGGTGCTGTCTCAAGCCCAGTGTCTGGTCCCCCATGGCTTTCTCCTCTCTAGATCTACTCTTCCCCCAATTCTTCCTTTCTGTTTTTCTTTTTTTCCCCCTCCCTTGTTTAAAATCTTCTCTTTGTCTACTTTTCTTTTTTCTTGGCTCTCTTTCTCTTTGCCCTTCTTGTCTTCTCTTTTTCATATTTTCTTCTCCCCCTGGTTTTAATTTGGAGTCCTGGTGTGGCATTATAAGATAAGCATAGAAAACAAGGATGGTTGGAACTGCAAGGTAGGCAGTTCAAACCCACCAACCACTCTTTGGAAACCCTGTACAGGGTTGCCAACAGTTGGAACCAACTCTGTGCTTACATTTTAACTTATTATTTTTCTTTCTTTTTTTCTCTTCCCTTGTTTTAATTTTTCTTTCCTTTTTTTTCTTTTTAGTTATTTAAGTTCTTTTTTCTTGCTGTTGTTTGCCTTCTTTCCCCTTACACTTTTCTTTTTGCTGTTGTTTTTGTTTTCTTGTCCCACCTGAGAGGAGACAACAATTGTGCTCAGTCAGTCCAGTCACAGCCATACCTCCTGCAGCCCCACCTACTGGAGGAGAGCCTTGTTGTTGTTGTTGGTAAGTGCCTTCGAGTTGATTCCAAACCATAGTGACCCTGTATAGGGTTTCCAAGGAGCAGCTGGTGAGCTTGAACTGCTGACCTTCAGGTTTAAACTGACTTTGCAGCCCTTAGTCTACTCCTATATTACTTGATCATCCATAGACAACAGCCAGACCTGCCCTAACTGTGCTACACTAACAGTGAACAGAGAATGTCAAACACTCACATTCTCTATCACACCCACCAAGAGAAAGGTTGTGAGTGCCTAAAAACACTCAAACATACAATCAACAATTAAACACAAATGTAATACTGCCTCTCAGAGAAAACAATGCCAGTTCACACCAAGAAACAAGACATAGTGGCTCAAACAAGCGACCAAAATGCAGAGCCTGAAGACCTTTTCTGAGGAAGAAATGACATTGGAACTACCTGATAAGGAATTCAAAACAATGCTGTTTAGGTATCTTCAGATTAAAAGATAGAGAAAGCTGCAGACAAAAATCAAGGGAAAAAAAGACAAAACTTTCAAAGAATTTAGGAAAACACTACAAGAACTGATCAAATACATGAAAAATGAGAACTCATACACAGCCAAAAGAAATTCAGAAGATTAATACTAAGATTTCAGAAATACATAACACACTGAAAGTGCAAAGGAATAGCAAGAGGGTCATTGGAAGAAAACTTCTTAAACATGATTAAAAAACATGGAGATATGCATTCAAGAAAATGAACAGACCCCAAACAGGACAGATTGTAAAAGAAAATCACCAACACATATCATACATAATCAAACTTGCCCAAACCAAAACCAAAGACAATGATAGAATCCTGAGAGCAGCTTGGGAAAAACAAAATGCTATCTACAAAGTAGAACCAGTAAGACAAAACTCTGATTATTCAGCAGAAGTCATGTAAGCAAGAAGGTAATGAATGGGATGACATACATAAAACTCTGTAAGAAAAATATTGCCAACCAAGAATCATATACTCAGCAAAATTGTCCCTCAAATATGAAGGTGAAATTACATTTCCAGATCAACGAATATTAAAGGCATTTGTGAAAACCAGACCAACTTTACATGAAATACTAAAGGCAGTTCTTCAGACAGAGAACCAACACCAGTAGACAATAATCTGAGATCAATATACATGACAATGCTACTCGTGAGTCAACCCAGATATAGAAATGTCCAAACATATTGTTGTTGTTGTTAAGTGCCTTCGAGTCGGTTCTGACCCATAGCGACCCTGTACAGGGTTTCCGAGGGTGTAAATCCTTACGGGAGTAGACAGCCTCATCTTTCTCCCGCGGAGCGGCTGGTAGTTTCGAACCACTGACCTTAGGGTTCGCAGCCCGATTCGTAACCACTACACTACCAGAGCGTATAGGACGGATTAAAGGAAACCAGGGGTATCAATGTGTAGCAAAGAAAATTACATAGTAAAAAAAAAAAGGAACAGAACTCCCAAATGAAGAAATGAAGAGGAAATAAAAATTTCAAGATAGAATATACTGTTGTTCTAAACTTGACAAGAAATTAACAGTCATGTCACTTAGGTGAAGAGATTATGATTGCACAGACATGCAGGCTAAAGCGGTGTGGGTGGTCCTCATCATCAGAGACACAGAAATGAACAGTTTTTCCCTCAGATTTTCAAGGGCTGAAAGCTGAGAGACGCAGTGTTCGCCTGGGTATGCAGGCAGCAATGCTCTGCCATGTCTCTGGGGAGTAGGAAGCAATTCTACACTATCAAACTGTAACATGAGCACATGCTTCCATAGAGTAACTTCTCTGGCAACACATACGCACATGTAATACACAGAGACGCCAAGACCCTGGACAGAAGCAAGGTCTGTAATGTTGCTAAGTGCCTTTGTACACGGTTTCCAAGGTGTGGTTCGTGGGTTTAAATAGCCAATGTTTCCTTCTATCCATAGGAAGCTGGTTATAAATTACAGTTAATGAATACTTGTTGTTGTTGTTGTCAGGTGCCATTGAGTCGGAACCAACTCATAGGGACCCCATGCAGAGCAGAATGAAACAATGTCCGATCCTGGACCAACCTCACTACCACTGCCACACTTGACGCCATCAATGATGCCACCTGGCTGATCCATCTTGTTGGGGGTATTCCTCTTTTTCTCTGATCCTCCAGCTTACCCAGCATGACATCCTTCTCCAGCGACTGTTCTCTCCTGACAATATGTCCAAAGTATGAGAGACGAAGCTTAGCCATCCTGGCCTCCAAGGAGC